AAAATCTTTCACTACAAATATGAACCTAATAATTTAGATTAAGTTTCAATCAGAATGTTTTCTACATTAGTCTAAAAATTCTTTGAATTTGAGAAGTTCTTTTCGGCAAATTAGGGGATAATGAAAGACGTTATACCGTTGTAAACTTGTTAAAATACTATTTGCATGTCTAGCAGCATCCATTATTTGTAACCTAAAGGTTTAAAAGACGAAGTTCTCAATTTTGTTGCCGAGGAAAAACTCATACAAACTTTAAAAAAAAAACATTTGAGGTCATCAAATTTAACAAAAAATTCTTATTTTAAACATAACACCGATCTATGAATAAAAGTTATTGCGACAGGAAACATTGCTATAAGGGTTCTCCTTTCCAGACTTAGTTCAGAGTGTACCTAATCACATGATCAGGGCTATTTTTCGTGCAAAAAGAGGAACAACTACGTAATGTAAAGTAAATTAGTATCAATAATAAGTATAAAACATTAAAAAATACATAAATCATCAAAACTTTGGATTGTGCCCTTGTTAAGTAGCAGAACACATATCTAAAAGTGCTTTTAGTTAGTTCACAAAAAAGTTTTTAAAACGCAAAAGGTCTTGAAAACATAAATTTAGCATTCTTTGTCTGTTGTAACACACATTTATTTCATATATTTATATGTATAAAGATATACATAGTAAGCTTTGATACTCGGGTTTAAAATACAATTCATAAAAAGAATTAAATTGTACAGGCATATTGTATATTCACAGATACACGAGTTATTCGTTCAAATAATCCTCAAAAAATTACCACCTCGTAGATGTGTGATAAGTTAAAGAAAAACTATTTGTTATTAGGTTTAAATTGTGAAAAAACCTACAAAAATAACATATATGTATAAATTCAGTACTTTTGAACATGTAATTGAAAATGTTAAGGAAAACTCTTCATATTAATTCTTGATTTAAGGTATTGATCCTAATTAATTAAAGTGGGAACAGTGCAAGAAGCTAATAATACGTTCACCAGTGGTGGAAAGGTCTCATGAATTGACCCACACGCAACATAACCTTCCCATTATGCAGATCTTAATACAAAATTATTATATCCTACATGGGATTCTATGTTTTGTGTAAAGGAATCAAGTTGAGCAACAATATCATTTTCAATTGCATTAACTCTACTATTAGAAACAGAAATGTCTTCCCCACATCACACGTCATTTTAGATTTTGGCATTTCTTTAAATCAAAAACCTCTGCCACTATAAATATGAATCTGATAATTTAGATTTATTGTCAATCGGAATTGTTTTCCCGGCCACATTGGTGTAAAAACAATGCTATGCACTAGAGAAGTTCTCTTCGGCTTATTTAAGGAGATAATGAAAGGTGATAATACTGTGTGTCCTTGTTTTGTGTTTCCTAAAATACTTTTTCGATCTATCTAGAAGCATCCCATATTTGTAACGTAAAAAGGTTTTTATCCGAAGTTAATTTCTCAAATCCCTTTCCCTTAATACATGTAACTTATTCAAACTTAAATATTTACATTTCATATGTTTTTTGCATATAAAGTGAATGGAAATGCTTTGATACTAAGTCAATAAATCATGTAATAAAATATAGAATTCGAGCTAAAAATACAATTTGTAAAAAGAATTAAATTGTTCGAGCATATTTCATATTCACCGATACACGTATTATTCATTCATTGACAAATAATCCTTAAAAAAAGTACATAATTGTAGATGTATAAGTAAAAAAAATTGTTAATAGGTTTAAACTGTGAAAAAAAAACAATAAAAGTAAAACATATCATATACGTATAAATTCTGCACTATTGCATCTGATTGTGTTAGGGGAAAGGTCTTCATATTAACTCTGGATTTAAGGTTTTGGTCCATTTAACAGTGCAAGAAGCTAATATACATTCACCAGCGGTGGAGAGGTCTTATGAATTGATTCCATACAAACCATAACCTGCTGCAATACGTAAAACAAAATCATTATATCTTTGTAATCATACATGGGATTCTGTGTTTTGTGAAGTAGAATCTAGTTGAGCGACAATATCATTTTCATTTGTGTTATCTCTACCATTAGATACAGGTTTATTGTCAAGAGAGTGAGTTCCTGAGTCTACAGTATCTGGTTTGGCTGAACTTTTCACGTCATTGTCATTTTGAGGTTGTTTTTGGGATTGTCTGGATTTCTTCTTATCATTGTCAGATTTACTGGAGGAATCAGAGGATTTGGAGGAGTCCGATTCACTACTTTGATGTGTATCTTTAATCTTTTCTTTCACAGAATCAACAGAAACCCCTGTAGTCCCCACGTCTAACAGAGGAGAGGATGACATTCTTACAATACTTTTGGGGGATGGAATCGGGGAAGTTTTAACTTTTGGGTCTTCCTTTTTGACTGAGGGTGCTGATGGAGTTGTCTTCCGTAGTTTGAAGCCCTTTCTTATGTCAGTTAGTAAACGATCAATGATACACCCATCCTCGTCGGGTTCTGGTACTGTAGGGCCATCTGAAAATATTTTTTTTTTGTTAAAAACAAAACCAAACAAGAAGAAGATACAGAGTTGTCCACAGATATGCATAATGACCTACGTTTAGCTCGTTTGCTGGCCATTTCTTGCTGCTGCTTTTTCCTACGCTCTGCCTTTTCTTCCTGCTGTTTCCTTTGAAGATTCTCCTGTTTGAAAATTCAAAGAACATATGAGTGGTGGGGTTTTTATCAAAGTGTAACTTGAAGTGGGAAAAAAGTCCTTTCACTTATAATTTTTACCTTTTGGCACTGTTTAACACGCTCACAGAACGTATTTAGGTTGTTTATACATTCCTCTAATTTAAACGATTTTTCGTTCTCACAGAAGTAGCTGACCAGCTGTTTGGTCAGTTCGGTGATTTCCTGTAATTTCTTGTCTAGGGATGCCATTTCTTCCTCGGCGTCCTACAAATACCAGGCTATTGGTTAATTTCATTGTAATCAATCTATATTTTTCTACAATGTTTTCAAAGACAGGGAAAAATACGATTTGACCATTACTTTCGTTTCAGGTTTTTTATTTCTGCAAAACAAACATGTACATATATTAAGATATTAATTCAAATACTAGGTTTGAATTTCCGTGGTATCCGATGGTAGCTAGGTAAACCAAGCTTTATCGTCCCTAGGTCACACAGCTTACCTGTATAAAAGTTTTGAGTTGGTTTTTGACGTCCTCGGGACAAGTCTCCAAATCTTTGTGAAGTTTTTTGACGTTGGTTTTCAACTGTTTCACTTCAGCTGTTAGAGCATCTACTGTCAACCTTTACAAATAAAATGGCGGGCTGTTGCTTAAAAATTCATGAAAGACTCATAAAATTAAAATTTTCCTTAAGATTTATATTTGGCACAGCAAAATGTTTATCATCGAAATATTAGCGCAGATCTAATCAATTCTAAGACTTCTTATAATTATAAATGCGGAAAGAACAAGAGACTCTGATGTTTTTTAAACGTGTTCCCAAGAGAAGTAACCAGTGCGGGTATATTTTCATTTCAAGCTTTTGTTCTTAATTTTTCTTGGTTTTTTTCTTGTATTTTTATTCATGGAATATTTTGTTCTTCAATAACTTAAAACTAGAGGTACTGTGAGCAATGAGCTCACTAAATGATATCCCCCGCCTCCCATATGAATATCTTGGCAGTGTCCATGTTTTGATCGGGAAAATCCAAAATATATGTCAGATCAAAAAGTAAAACAGGAGGTGCACAATGGCAATATGTAATAAAGATTCTGTGAAAGTTTCATTAAAGATCCTTCAGTTGTATGAGAGGAGTTGCGGATAAGAGATGGGTACCCCAAAGCGTAACAGAGGGACGGACGGACAGACAGACAGAAGGACGAACAGACAGACGGACGGACATACCGATTACTATATGCCCTCCCGCTTTTCAAGCGGGGGGTATAATAATAACATATAGAACGCTAATCCATTCACTTTAGGTACAAGATAATAAGTAAGAATTTACTCGTATAATCAGTAGTAAAATAGCATCTGGCCTGACCTTGAAGCTTTGGCTAGATCTGAGGACATTTCATCAACAAAAGCCAGGGCGTCTTTATTTTCCTTCTCCGCCTCCCCCACCAGGTAATGAAGCAGTGTCACCCGAGGCTTGTTGGCCCTCGTGTCCATAAGCTTATTCAGGGAATTTATCCGAAACCCCATGGCATTTCCAGCGTATCCCCCCTAAAGGAATGTTCAGCAGACTTAAAATACATATAAGCTAGAAAAATTTTGCTTGTTACTGTGAAATCACTCATTTCGTGGGGGTTTATTTTCGTTGTTTTCGAGGAATGATCCAATCACGAAATCAAATCCCCACATACATGTAACAGTAATTTTTTTTCTCAAACCTTGAAAATTTACCCCCAAGAAAATATGTGATTTTACATTATTGTAAAACTTGTTTGAGCAAAAGATTCCAAATTTATGTGTTATATATGACATGCAAAAAAATTTACGTGGGTTTAATGATAAGATATCTAGATATTCAGAACTTTGTATTAATTGATAAATATCTAAAGATTTACGTATTTCACAATTACCGCGTTCATGAAATTCCCAGCATGTAAGACGTATCGTAGGAAGACTTTGAATGACTCGTTCTCTAGAAGGTGTTGGCAGGCCTTCACCACGGCTTCAATGTTTGGCAACAGTGTATCCAACGTTACTCGAAACTCGTCTTTTAGAACCAAGCCATCAATACGAACCTTGAAGGACGCTAACTGGATAAGTTTGAGGAAGAATTTCTCTGCGTTCCCGAGTTTCTCTTTGTCTCCCTCAAAACCCTTGATCATGTTTACCTGATAAACATGAACGAATAGAATAAGAAAGTGAACTCTTAAATCAGAGGTTTATTTTAGAGTCCCATTGAAACTGTGGATCAGCATGTGTTTAGCTGATGATGGAATCAGACAGGATGGTGCTTAAAACAAAGGGCACGAAGATATTGTTTTCGAAGTAAAGGAGGAAGAATGTTTTTTGAACAAACCAAAAAGAATGTCTTTATTTGACAGGCATCCCTACCCTAAAACTATCCTTACTGAAAAAGACTTTTCTCGAGTTACATGCCTGAACAACATTGTGAGGAACTAAAAGCAAGGATAGAAAATATATATAAAATCAGAATTCTTTATTGCTAGAGTACGTTCAGTAATGGATATGTTTACTTTACTATCGGACCTTTTCATTCTCAATTCTATGGTTTTATCCTACAAAATATCCATAACCGGTAGTGATAGTAAATCTTCGAAGAATAAATGAGAAGGTTATAACAAGGAGGTTCGACGACAAAGGACGTCTTGAACGATTCATTTGAAATGAAAAACGTATCTAATGCATAAAGCCATATGCCTTATTGAAGTATAGGTCAAAAACTGTAAGAGACTCTCTTATATGTCTCTGCATAGTTTAATGATTGAAAAATTGACAAAATACTGGCTTGAAGTGGGGATGCTGAAATTGAGTTTGGTACGTTGTGGTAAGAACAAGTAGGGTAGCCCTGTTTAGAGTGAAATATACCGTATAAGAAGAAATTTTAGCGAGACGCAAATTTAGCGATTTGTCCTTAAAAACTGCTATTTTATTTTTAGCAAGATGTAATTTTAGCGATTTTAAAATGTTCATGAAAGAACCTATTACAAAAAAAAACGCAATACATTTTTAGCGATCTCAGCATCCTCGCTAAAAATGCCAAAATTAAATCCTCTACTTATACGGTATGTCGATAACGAACAATGTTCAAGCTCATTTGTCCAATTTAATGCCCTGTTCACACGACGAGTTTAATTCGCAGTAAATTAATGCGAAGTAAACTAATGCGAATCAAATTAATGCGAATTAAGAGGCTGTCCACCGAAAAACCAGGCAATGGGTGGCACATCGCATGTCATGGATTTTAATTATTTTTTGCATGTAGACTTATTAAAGCAAGTGTTTACACATGACAACATCAAAAAAATTTATAGTGCTTCTCTAGTCCTAGTTTTGGTAAATGCTTAATTTTAAGTGCAAAAAGGTCAACATGAGGGTAAAAAAAATACTACGTTTTAATTTTGTTTTATATGTAACAGATACTCCAGAGGTGGATGTGCCGATGAATATTATTTATAGAATAGACTTTTATCTTTTATTTTATGAATGAATAAGACTCCAATTTATACTTCTTTAGAAAAAATTATCTGGTCCAAATTTGAGTTTAGCAGGTAAATGTTTAAATTCAGTATCCAATTTTAATTACGTAATAAAACCCAATACAATACAAGGACATATTTGTTTACCTATGTTTTTATGAATACAAAGTACAAACTTTTGGTTCATTCAATAAAATCATTGGGAAAAGGTATTTTGAAAGAAATAAAAGGAGTCAAATATTTACTTATTTTTTATAGTTTTCACAAATGAAACCGATCCCGACCGGAATTGTATAAAGAAGAAAATACTAATGTTTCGTAAATCTAAAACATTCATCATTGATTCCCAATTTTATAAGAAATGTTCATTATAAACACTTCATTAGTTATTTTAACGCATATCCTGGTAAATCAATTTTAAAAAATTAGTTCTCGGACATGTATGAAATTACTTATCAAAACGTCATCTTGCTGAGACGCCGCCCGGGTACTGTGTAAAATACATTTTGATATTAAAATATTTAACATTTAGTATAATGCACTCTGAAGAGTAATTGATCAGAAAAAGAAAAATCATTTTTTTTAAAATATATTTTTACACTTTACGGAAAGAATTTACGAGCTTCTCTGAAAAACTTGTAACTATTTCATTGTGACGCAATATATTGACGTCACTGATACAAGTACATCAATGGAAACGTTATTTTACCTGAATATTATAGCCAATTTAATCTAAATATTATGTTTGGAGGCGAAAATGAATTATATTTTGAAAATAAATTATTTATTTTTTGTTTAATAATTTTCTTTAGTGTACTGATTCTAAATATTTCACTAGGATTCCGATGAAAATGTGTTTGGCAGATTTACCGATGCCACGGGAGATAACTCTTGCATCGTAATTTTTCATGGAAACGTCTATATATTTTGCCAGAATACTTCTATTAAAAGTGTTTTTCCCAATGATTTTATTTTTTTAACAAAAAGATGAAATATTTCTAGGTTTATTTAAGTGTGAATTATAGTCCTGTTAAAATTGTATTGGAAATTACAGCTCTTTGTTTCTTACCTACTTTCAATGGTTTATATAGGGGAATTCAAAAACACAAAACACAAGGATATTTTACTAAATAAGCAATTTTCAAACAAATCTTCAGTTACATTATTCCTTTTGGACTACATTGATATTGTTTTTAATAAATTACCAAATATTCCTCACATTCGATGTGCCGCCTATTAATACAATACTGCCTGGATTTACGGTGGACTGCCTCTTAAATTGCGTTCACACGACAGCTAATGCCAAGTAAACTAATGCGAATTAGATTTCTTCTTCTACAGTAAGTCTATTATGACGTCATTTGTAAATCACGTCATGTATGCAGAGCCATCCTTTGATACATCATGTAGTGGCTACAGGTATTCATTGATTTTAGTGATTAACATACTTTCCCTCAATTTTTGAACCAAGTATAGCACAAATACCTATATATAACCACCAACACGTGTCCTGTGACTTAATTCTGGCCTTACGCATGCGTCAAAATTTAATTCGAATTAGCTTCGCTTAGCGTTCACACGGAGCTAATGCGAAGTAATTTAATGCGCAGTAAATTAATTCAAATTAAACTAATTCGAATTAAATTCTCCGTGTGAACGCTAAGCGAAGCTAATTCGCAGTAAACTTACGTTTAATTCGAATTAAACTCTCCGTGTGAACAGGGCATAATAATACAAAATAAGAGAAGAGCAAATACGGAGCTCCAAAACATCAGAGGTAGGATCAGGTGCCATGGAGGAGTGAGCATCCCCTGCCGACCGGTCAGTTGCCGTGTGCTCCTTATTCATGATCAGGAAATAACCAAAAAAAAATCCGTTGTCAATTAAGTGTGTAAATAATGGCCTAACAATTAGTATGAAAAACGTCAGTCAAGTGCCTGTGTACTGCTCCCTTCCGCTAAGTAACCTTCACAGTCATCCCGAATGCTGTATTCTGTTAAAACTATTTTCAGAATCTATAGCTACTCTTTCAATGGAAGAAATTTAATGATCAGTTTTAAGACAAACACATTTAAAAACACAAACATAAATACGAACTTCGTGACCTGGCAATAACATAGGTAATCAAAGATTACGAAGCTCACCTCGAATGTTATCAGTGTAAATCATGCAAATCTCACATCATATTTTCTTAATAGTTGGTATTTATCCCGACAACAATAATCTTGCAAGTTCTGTTTAACCCCTTACATGGCATATACACATTTCTAAGCGTCTAGCGTGAAAAACATGTATAGTGTAAACAAATATTCATAAATTTGTTAATATTGCAGATATCTAGGGCTTGATCTGATCCAAAAACTTTAACCTGGTCTCTTGTTTGGGAAAATATAGGTCAGATCTAGCACCCAAAGCAAGTCTGGTAGTGTCCATCCCCAGATGCATCATCCATGCAAGTTTGGTCCGCGTAGGGCTTATAGTTACTTGGAAATAAAAATGTAGGTCAGATCCAGCATCCGAAGCAAGTCTGGTAGTGTCCATCCCTAGAAGCATCATCCATACAAGTTTGGTTCAGGTAGGGCTTTTAATTACTTTGGACTGAAAATGTAGGTCAAATACAGCAAGTCAGGTAGTGTTCATCCTTAGATGCATCGTCCATGCAGTTTGTTCCCAGTAGGGCTTATAGTTCCTTGGGAATGGACCTGCACCAAAAACTTTTACCTGGTCACTCATCTGGAAAATGTAGGTCAGATCCAGCATCCGAAGCAAATCTGGTGGTGTCCATCAATAGATGCATCATGCATGCAAGTTTGGTCCCAGTAGGGCTTATAGTTCCTTGGGAATGGACCTGCTCCAAAATCTTGAACCTGGTCACTCATCTGAAAAATGTAGGTCAGATCCAGCATCCGAAGCAAGTCTGGTATTGCCCCATTCCTAGATGCATCATGTATGCAAGTTTGGTCCGGGTTGGGCTTATAGTTCCATGGGAATGGACCTGCTCCTAAAACTTTAACCTGGTCACTCATATGGAAAATGTAGGTCAGATCCAGCATCCGAAGCAAGTCTGGTAGAGCCCATTCCTAGATGCATCATGCATGCAAGTTTGGTCCGGGTAGGGCTTATAGTTCCATGGGAATGGACTTGCTCCTGAAACTTTAACCTGGTCACTCATATGGTTAATGTAGGTCAGATCCAGCACCCGAAGCAAGTCTGGTAGAGCCCATTCCTAGATGCATCATGCATGCAAGTTTGGTTCAGGTAGGGCTTATAGTTATTTTAGAATGGACTTGCTCCTAAAACTTTAACCTGGGACGCCGACACCGACGCCGAGGGTATAGCATAAGCTCATCTCGACTTCGACGGTTTTAGGTTTTTGAATCTGATTTACAACCTTTAAATTTTTCTGTTATACATTATTATTTTTAAAATTCTAGTTATGCAGCATATTTTTCTGTACTTGACACTATTTTCTTTGGGATTTTAATGTTCTTTTCTTTTTTTATTACGTTTCTGTCTGTGGCTCTTTACCTCATCTGGTTCTGGAAGTATCTTTTGCAGACCGCGCAGGCGCTCTTGACCAATAACGTTCACGTCGCCTGCCTCAATCATGGACATAATTTCATCATGGCTGCACTTAAACTGTTTCAGGAAGATATTCACATTCATGCTTCGCTTTGTATCCAGCAGTAATATCTGAAATTTTGATTTTATTCTTACAAGATGCGATCATTGTATTAATTGAATGCACAGCTCCGACGATGTTTTGCAAATAAAACCTTCGATAAGGGGGCATATATCTTAATTAGTTAAATCTTGTGTTGATATAAACGGTATAAAAGACTCCATTACATAAGAGGCATACGTTCTCTCAGATCTTTAAAAAAGAAAAAAAAGTTTATTGTGGTATCCCTAAATTAAAATCGGAATACATTGAAGAGACTCTTAATGACAAAAGTGGGCGTTTATTAGAAATCCAGGAGGCCCGCTCATAAAATTAATCACTGCAACAATATTGGTTAGAGTAAAACGGAAATAAAATCGACATTTACACACAAGGAATTTGCTTTTTTTCGGTTTTCCCAAAGCTTTATTGGACTGTGGCACGAAACCTTTTGTAATTCACAGTTATTACTACTTCACACTGGAACTATTTCGGAGTATGTAAGTGATTTGTATTTACCGTAAGCTAGGTTGATGAAGAAAACGGTCTTCTGATGTTTACAGTCTTACCTCTGATGGCGGTTTGATTTTATTTTTCTCGTTCTCTTTTCTCTTCTGGATTTGCTTCTGACAGAACAGTTGTTCTAAAGCTTCATACTTTACACTAATCAGATCCTGCATATCAAGGATTTCTTTCCAGACATTTTCATGAGCTGCAATTTTAAAAAAAGAGAAAAAAACTTATTCAAAGCCTCATATTTTGTTTCTAAAGCTTAGAGTCTTCAGCAATTTACCTCTCGTCCTAACACAACAAGTACACAATTTGTTACAGTGTATTCATTTTATTTATCAAAGACATTTGAAAAGCCACACTTACATGATATAGTGTGGGATGGAACTTTTGTCCAGTTGAATGTCTTCATTTTGTGTTTAGGAGTGGGAGTCCACATCTTAGAAGAGGTAACTTGACTGTTTGAGAATGTTAATGGTGTCGGTTTTGACTTGATCATTCCAGGTGGAGGTGGTGGTGGGGGTGGCCCACAGCCTGGGGGTGGAGGAGGAGGGGGAGGTGGCCCACAGCCTGGGGGTGGAGGGGGAGGAGGAGGGACTGTAGGCCCACAGCCCGGGGGTGGAGGAGGGGGAGGAGGAGGGATAGGTATTCCCATACCAGGGGGAGGTGGTGGTGGTGGTGGGCCCACACCTGGGGGCGGTTGAGGATTTATAGGAGGTTCCGTTCCAGGAGGAGGTGGGGGTGGGGGAGGGGGTGGTGGTATAGCACTGTCTTGTGGATATGACAGAGCTGATGACCCCATACCTGGTGGTGGTGGGGGAGGGGGTGGTGGAGGTGGGGCTGATCCTCCATTTTGCTGAGAGATTGTAGATGATAGTGATGTTGATTCCGGAATGTTTTGATTTGGTTCTGTTGAGTCTGTTTTTGGAGATAAACTGGAATGGATGCTACTTGATGGAGATGATAAATCATCATTCACAAAATTAAAACACTGGTCAATTTCTTTGTCAATTCTTTTAAGTGTATCACAGGATGGCTTTGAATTTTGATTCAATTTTGCTTCTAATGCTTTCTTCAAGTCGGCAGACATTTCTTTGGAGAGGCCGGAAGAGACGGTGTGTGCTGGAGGCGGCATTGAGACCGATCTGTTTATTGGCGTGGGGTCAGTCTGGACAGCCCTAGACACCCCTGGGTATTTAGGTAAGACCTCTGTCCCTCCTGCAGTTGCTCTGTTAACATGTGTCTCATCGATCAAAAAGGCACGCCTCACGGACGTTTCCACTATGTTCCACTGTACGTCACTACAAAATAACTAGGTGTTGTCTTACTTTGGTCAGGTGTTCTTTATAGTATGATGGATATGCAGATAAAGAACAGTATTCAATACCAAAGTCGATAAAACAATAAAATATAGGAGCAGAGCAAACACGGACCTCCAAAACATCAGAGGTGGGATCAGGCGAAATAGAGGAGTCAGCATCCCCTGCTGACCGGTCACACCCGCCGTGTGCTCCTTGTCATGATCGGGAAATAACGGAAAAAGACGTCTTCAATATCGTGTACAGTGTATAAATAATAAACTAACAATAAGTATGATAAACGTCAGTCAGCATTTGACTCAATAATACATTGTATTTGCTGACAAGGTCATTGTATCGACCATAGAACTTCCGAAATGATGACTTTAAACGAGACTACTGATATTCTTGTTTCATCAACTTGCTTGTCAATAATTTACCTCGTTGTAGAAATTATTCATACGTAGCCCATGCTCTTGCGTATCGAATCAACTGAAATATATACACTCCGTATGCAGGTGATGAAGGTATATTGCAGCATAAGTAAGGGAAGTTGACGATATAAAAGTTAGTCATCACGTTGATCATATAGCTTGGTTGTTAGATTACCATTAACGTATTAAATATAATAAAACCAATCTTTTTATAATAGAGGGAATAAAGAAAATCTGTTTGAGAAATTCAATTAAAACCTTTTTAAAAAAAACCCATTAAATTGCATAATTGCTGAAAAATTCATAAACATTAAGTCTTCACTTACTTTTTTACGCTAAAAAACATTCATTTTCTAAATACATGCCATTAACGTCTTTTTCAAGCATCCAATTATGAAACAGATGTGTCAGACTCTGTGGTATCTTTTATCTCTAGTTCACTATCTTTTATCTCTAGTTCACCAAGAAATGGAAATTACCATTGTTAATTGACAATACGTTGTCGATATATCTAAATGTCGAGTTAAAGGCCACAGCATGTGTTTTCTTCTTTTCACGCATAAGATTTTGCACAAATTCTGCTTCATATGAACACAAAAATAGGTCTGCTAATAACGGAGCGCAATTGGTACACATTGATATTGTCAATCTGAAACTCAAGCATCTTTTTATGACAACTTCAGAGTATTTGTGTGTGCAATCAGAATGTGTTTTAACAAAATAATTTTGCAAATGACCAACGACCACGTAAGTAAATTTACAAGTTCTATTTTAATTGAAAAAGCAGCTGTTAATGATATCAAAAATCCTGGACTTTAACTCGTGGGGAATGGTTGTGTATAAAGATTGGTCTATATATTTTTTAAGGATATTTTTTAAGGATATCCGATCCTCAGCCAGGAAGGATAAATCCAAAAATTAATATTTTATTTAAAAAACATCAGTATGAGGCTTGAAAATGAAAACTTTTCATTCAACAATTTTCATTTCATTCATCTTTATATGATTCAAGGTTTATGGAAGTATTAGAAAAGGTCCTATAAAAAATTGACATTTGTGCCCCATAAAAGGGAAAAAATAAATACGGTTTTATAGAAGTGAGATTTTCTTGAAACAAGCATCATATACCAATGCTTATTAGCATGATATGAAAGTTATTTGTGATGTCTTGCAATGATAGCAAAGACCTTTTACACCATGTATTATATAGTACATGAAAGAAAGACATAGGATATCAAATAAATAATATAAAGTTCACGACAATTTCTCTAAAAGCCTGGATACATATTTTTAACCTAAAATATATTTATTGATCAATTTGCAATTTGAAAATGCATAACTGGTATTCCTATTCGCTTTCTCTGAATATATATTGGATATTTGACAATTTTTTCCTATACAATATGGATAACTTTAATATTTCACTTTTAAGCAATACTATGGATAAATTAACATTACTATGTATATTCAGAGATATATTTATGAGTAATTTCAATTACTTAATTGCTTATTTTATAGACCTGAGGATCGGACTACCTTAAATGCATGTTTTCTTGTACATGTACATACCTTTTTGATTTATTTTTTTCCGAATGACAAGTGTTACATATTTATCAGAGAACACTGCTTTTTGTTCTGATATACTTTTCCACGTTTTCCTTATCCTATCAAACATATTACGCAACCAAACAATGATACGGGAGACACAAGGAAAAAGGAAGAAATAAGCACCAGGATCTTTGTTTGAAGAAAGATTTAAATCGATTCATCTACAGTATCTCAATTGGAACAACATTCCGCATCAAAGTTTGAGATACCGCGTGTCTTCTTCTTTCAATGACGCCTATATATATTAGTTTACTAATAAGTTTAATAAGCTTGCTTATCTGTTTTGAAATAAATCTATTAGTCTAGAACAGGATTCCATGTTCAACATTTCAAATAAACCGCAAGTCTATACGTATGTCAGATCTACAGTTATTAATCAGAAACAAACATTTTGTAAGAAATTGAATTCTGTAAGATTGTGACAATATCTGTCCTCATTTATTTCAGATGTAATGCTGTTAAAGGTCTACTTGGGAAAGAAATTAAATTTGGAAAACTTTAATAATTAATCTACAGCTTTACGTACCTCAGTGGGTTTTCTGGTTCAATTTGTAAAAGAGTTTGCAGCACATTTAGAAACACATCAGCTAAAGGCGTGTTGTAAACCTAAAAATACGTGACAGTGTTAAACATATGGAGGTTTAGAACTGTGACATTGCAAAGATAGAAAGGTTGAGACTTTACTGTACATTTGGAAGTTAATTTGCAATATTTACAGTTACATAAATACTCTGGATATCTAAGTACGAGTATCTGAAAGATGTGGAATCTAATATACGTTTTCTTCATTATCATAACGATATGGAATACGATATATTTTTTAAGCTGAGCTCACTTCCTAATAATCTTAATATGGAATAAGATTGGGTATGAAAACTTAAAAAAATCCAAATACGTTTTAAATCATGTGGAACTTTATAAATAATTAGAATTTCTACAGCACTCTCTAATGACTACACCATTTCAATGTTTTTCAATGAAGTGTATTTTATACATAATTTATTATTTGTTGAGGACCCAGATGTTACCAGGTTGATTTGTTTCAAGGAGGAAATACAACAATTTCGGAAACATTGTAAAAAATGAATTTATGACTACTGTTATAATGATAACATTGAATATCTATAAACAGCAGCTAAATAATAAAATCTAGGCTAACGAATGAAATAGCAGACGTACTCATGGAAGCTCTAAACACTAATGACCATGTTTTATATAGAACACAGAGTTTATTAAATTCATTGTCAAAAAATGTACCTTCTGCCTTATTTCTCCACGAAAGTATTGAAAGAAAACGACGTATCAGTGTACGGAAGTCAACATTGTGAGCTTATATTGCAAACATACTTCTTCTTGGTCTATTACACTGCTAAGAATAGCTTATCAAATTCGAATCGCATGACATTTGCCGTAGATTTTCCTTTTAGTTTATCTTAAACTTAAGGACAACCCACTCTAACTACATAAATTACAATTGTTCAGTTTGAAGAGATCATTGTTTAGAGCTTCCTTAAGAATCGCGTAAAACATTGATTTTTCCATGTAGAAATAAAAAGTTTAAAACGAAGTAAAATTGATAATAAATATTGTAGTTTTAATTAGAACCATGCATTTGGAAAATTCTAAGCTAATCATTTTAATATATAAAAATTACATATATAATTTACCTTGTGATAAAGGGCATTAAAGACTTCTTTATGATCGTTAATGTCGACACACGCAGGGTTCAGGGCCGCTAACTCTTCATCGTCTGATTCCTTCTCGTCGTCAAAAACATCGCACTGAATGATCAAATCCTCGTCATCTTCATTTCTTAAATTGTTGATCATATCAAGGATGTTCAATCCTATAAGACAGGAAAAAACAGAAGACGCATTAAATCATAACTAGCAATAACTTGAGATCGTTAGTTGGATAAGATGAATCATTTTCTTTTAAAAGATGAAAATATGATGGTAAAACTTTAAAAAGCCTTACCTGATTTCAAAGTTAATACGTTACATATATCCATTTGTGTATATTTCACTTTATCATATACTTCCAATTACTATGTATAGTATTGAGTAATCAATAGCCATTGTGATAAGAGAAGGATTTCCAAGTTTCACTTTTGCTATATGGAGTTTGGGCTTCCCGGATAGAATTAAGTATATGCCCATTTTTTTTTTCGGAGTTACGTTTTACTCTTAAGACTTTCCAAGATCCGTACAAATTTTTCAAATAAAAATACTTTCAATTTAAAGGTCGAATTACTTTGTAAATAAAAATGAAAGAATGTCAAAAACAGTTAATTACTAATGATATTTAGAAGGGCAAATACTTTGGTTTAAAAATTATTATTAATGAGATACGATGTAAGGACATACCCTACCCTTTCTATTCAAGACTTGTTTTATTTCATTAGGTAAATCGCATTTGTTAAAAATGTTAGAAACATTAAAATGAAATCCATTTACTCAAACAAAATACGGATTACAGCAAAGTCAACTGTAACTTATCCTCACTAGTCCAAGATTGCATGTCAGACCAACTAACTCTGATGGTTTGACTGGAGGGACTCATCATCATGATAAGTCTGTTACATTTTTTGCATTCTTTAGTACTTGTACTAATCTTTATTTGAACAATGGATAATTTGAATCGAGTCAATAAAAAATAAATCTTAACAATTTTGCAGTTATTTTTTCTAATATAACTAAAAATTAAATTTTAAAAAAATCACACGGAAACCATGTCATTTATTTCTAATCGATATGTTTCAAAGAAACAAAAGTATCTATTTATATCTGCAGTTCATTGCTCACAAGGGCACACTTAACAATATTTTACCTTTCAATAAGTGGGAAAAACAAACGTTAATGTTTTTAAATTACCTCTTTCTCACGGCCACTTTTATTTTTAGCAAATACTGACGAAGACGAATTAAAATTAGTGCACACGGTAATATTAACCTTCTCCGAGTATCGTATTCGAGCACGCCTTTTTATGGTTTGATCGAACAAACTGAACTCACCTATGAATTCATTACGGACTCTCACTCTGTCTTCTAGCTCTTCATTAGCCACGATGATGCAGTTAACAAAAGCCATTAACGCTGTCTTGTATGGAACCAAGTCCGCCATCCTCAGCTCATTTACAATCAAACTGAAACGGTACCTCTGCTTCTTTAATGTCTGAAAAAGGAGAGTACGAACAGACCTTAGATTAAGATGGGTTTAATTGTTACAAAAACATTCGAAATATACAAAATAACACTCACAGTATATTAGTTCAGGATGATATTCACACTAACTGAATAAAATTAAAAGGCCTATCCTTCCTTTCTTGAGATATTTCAAAGAATAACATGAAAGAAATGAGGAACAGAAACTTCAATTTTCAAAAATTTTATAAGCAATAATTGATACCAATACGTGACACAAGATTATGAAATAATTTCGCTAAAACATCATGATATTGCTATTACAAGCATACAAAATAACAAAAATTTATTAACTGAAATGAAATATTCTTGTACTCTTTATGGTGTGCGGAAATAAGATAACACTACGACAAAAATAAAAAATCCTTAATGAAAGTGTATATCGTGATAAGGAATAAAGATGATCAAAAGCTCAATATTAAATGTCTAAGTACACATGCTTCCAACCTATCTTATATCTATACCCTGTACATTTGAATTCGTAATCATTTTGTGAGCGCTGTATTCATAGCACCTATAGTCTGAGAAAAGATCTGAAGTAAACTGTACTTAAAAGGGCATGGACACAGATTCAACTGAATTTTTTTTTATCAATTTTAATTTTTAGAATTCCTAACTAAGGCAATTCTAATGATCAGCAAAAATTTGAACATCATTTGTTGATTTACAAAGGAGATACAGGACTGAGAATTCTTCATAATGTAAACAAGGCTCGTGCCTTGTTTTTGTTTACATTTAGAAAATATCATGTTTATAACAAAACGAGATTCAGCAAATCATTAGAAAATGTCTAATTGTATTTAGAATTAACAACTTCATTGAAAAATTCTGCTTTGAGGAACACATATCAGCATGTTTAACCTATGTAAACAAAAACACGGCTCGGGCCTTGTTTACATAACAAATGTTCTAAATCTGTCTTGTAACTCGACAACTGAAATTCAAAAATTTGCTGATCATTAGAAATACCTTAGTTAGGTATTTGTAAACATAAAAAATGGTATGAAAATTTTTGGCTGAAACTGTGTCCAGGTCCCTTTAACCTTAGACCAGAAAAAAAGATTGACTTAAAAAAATCTGTACAAATGTTAAATAATTAAAGATAAAGAAAGCTACATTCTCTTCTGTTGAAACCCTACACTTTCTAGTGACTCTCCACTTGATCTAATTATAATTTTTATTTAAATTCATAAAACCATTAAAAAAATAATCAAGTAGTTCCAGATAGAAAATTTATGATGCTTTATATCGATTTTCAGCAGTGACCTTCTTCCAGAGCTAGAGTCTAGGCACAATTGTGTGACAAACTACTAAAAGTTAAAAGACACCCCCATTGCACCATTGCAGGCAATTTTACGTTTGATATGAAGAACTGTCGGTAATTCAAGAATGTCCTATACTACATGTCATCTACTCAGAAATAATCATTTTATTGCAATAGTTGTTTTAAGAATACATTTTTACATACAAGTAAATTTTAAGATTTTCTAAAAAGCATATTCCCGCATCTCTTCTATATTTGACGAATGTTCTATTCTTTCTCAAATCCGATAGTAATCTTAAGAAGCGAAGCCATGCCATTTTTCCAAAAATATTGAGGACCTGTAGAAGAAACCTTCCTCTTTTCAATGTTTTGCATGACCTCTGACCTGTTAAGCTTTTTGTATGATTATTTTGTCTTTTTGATTGCCTCTTTTCATTTCGATGTAAGCGCTACAAAATCTGAATTATTTTCATTTCTTTTTGTATGTATATCTCAGGTTTTTGTCTTTCCATTGTGTTAGAGCAAGTAAACAATTAGATACCACATTATATCAGAAGAAGCTCACAAAGATAATCATAGCGGTTAATCACCGCGGCGGAGATCGGGTTCGTGGAGGATAAAAAAAAAAGTATCCGTTTCTAGTCGTCAACGCTGTCTGATCGATGTCAATGGACAATGCTGTAATGAAACACAGCATTACTGAGAGAACATTATTCAATTACTAGAAAATAATGAAAAATGATCTACCTTAAAGCTGTCTAAGGCGTCCATTGTCAGTCTGTATCCTTCATTAGAATACACGCACAGCGCCGAAAGTAATTCGAACACTTGTTTCTTCACCATAACATTGTTTGTGTCCAGTGCTGTAACCGAAAAAAAAATCGTCATGTTTTGTACAAAACAGCTTTGATGCATTAATGTTTTCAATAATATAAATCCATAACAAAATTATTTCAATTCCTCAGAAATAGATCCTGAAGTTCACAAATATCATCACTATTTGGATGATGAATTCGAACCGCCATTTTATATTTGGATAATGATTATGATATGGTATATTCTAGTTTAAATATATATCGTTAGCAAAACAACATATGGGTGATAATTGAGAACCGATATATTCGACCTGGACGATGATAATGAACTAACAGATTCTAGCTGGACGATGATGTATTCATTCTGGACTTTGGTATTGAACTGATATATTATTCTACCTGACTATGATAATGAGCTGATAAATTCTATGTGGACTTTGATAATGAGATGATATATTCCATCTGGACGATGACAATAAACTTATTAAATTATTATTATTAAACTTATTAAACTTATAAACTTAAGCTGTATTCATTCTGGACATTGGTATTGAATAGATATATTCTATCTGGACTTTGATAATGAGCTGATATATTCTATCTGGACTTTGATAATGAGCTGGTATTCTATCTGGACTTTGAAAATGAGCTGATATATTCTATCTGAACGATGACAATGAACTTATATATTTTATCTGGACTTTCATAATAAGCTGATATTCTATCTGGACTTGGATAATGAGCTGATATTCTATGACTTTGATAATGAAATGATATATTCTATCTGACTTTGATAATGAGCTGATATTCTATCTGGACTTTGATAATGAGCTGATATTCTATCTGGACTTGGATAATGAGCTGATATTCTATCTGGACTTGGATGATGAGCTGATATTCTATCTGGACTTGGATGATGAGCTGATATTCTATCTGGACTTTGTTAATGAGCTGATAATCTATCTGGACTTTGAAAATGAACTTATATATTCTAGACGATATAATCTGGACAATAATGATGAACTGACATAATTATTTTACCTGGACGATGAAACATTCTATTTGGACGATAATATATTCTATCTGAACGATAATACATTTTATTTGAACGATGATAATTAGATGATATATTCTATCTAAATAGTGATAATGATATAAGTATGTGCCCTTCTCTTTTTGAAAAAAAAATTCTCAATAATAAAACTTTCATTTGTAGGACTTCTTCTTAGTCGGCCATATTAAGAATTAAATTATTTTTCTTTCTGTCGATTGTTCTTAAAAATGTCCGTTGCAGACGTTTTCCATTTATTTCCAATAACAACATGAACAAGTGGTATTGATATTTCTAACAACTGGCATTGTCAGATTTTAAATAAATAGAATTACTTTCTAAACATAAAACGCAAGCTATGTAATGTAATCATCGAGTCGTAATTAAATATTTTAGATATTTTTCCCCAATAGTCACCGGCTTAAAAATGACAGACAAAACTTTCCTCTCAATAATTGATGACTGGAAACAGTTGAAGTTGTGTAACACTGAGAATCTAAATCATTTGATGTATTGAATCAATCTGTTAGCTTTTTATCTTGCTAAGATAGGCAAACATGGGGCTGGGATGATGGAGGAAGGTTAAACATATCAAATCATGCAAAACCCACAGAGTCTTATATATTCTGTTATTTCTGCTTCTGTCACCAATCTGGGGTAGGTGTTATAATCGTGACTAGAGTTCAATCTAACTCTCCAGGAATAGTCACTGATCACAAGGAAGGTGCTGTAGTTATTATATATATGTGTACATCTTTTAGCACTTTATTATACCCCCCGCTTGAAAAGTGGGAGGGTATATAGTAATCGGTATGTCCATCCGTCCATCTGTTACGCTTTGGGGTACCCATCTCTTATCCACAGCTCCTCTCATACCACTGAAGGAAATTTATTGAAACTTTCACAGAATCTTTATTACATATTGCTACTGTGGACCTCCTATTTTACGTTTTGATCTCTCATATTTTGGATTTTCCAGAGCAAAACATGGATACTGCCATTATATTCATATGGGAATATGTAATAAAGATTCTGTGAACGTTTTATTAAATTTCACTCAGTGGTATAAAGGAGTTGCGGATAAGAGATGGGTACCCTAAAGCGTAACAGACGGACGGACGGACATACCGATTACAGTATACCCTCCCACTTTTCAAACGGGGGGTATAACAAATAAATCTTCTGTGACTGGTTTTCTGCAAGTAATCCATTTATCCAAATGTAATTTACTGGTCATTGAAACAGTGTTACAAAATGATCGACTTCCCCCATCAAACAGGAAACGTCTGCTTACGGTAAAACAGAACTACAAGTTTACACCAAAGCAGTGCCCGAATACAAAACAAAGCAATTCCATGTGTAATTGAAAACAGAGCGAAATCCTGCACGTTGGGTAATCGGATGATGAATTCCCAAGATCGGGTGAAAATGGAAACTATTGATCCCCAGTTCTAAATTGAATTCCTGAAATCTGGAGGCACGGCTCGTGTTTAAATTCTGGAAAATCCTTCTGTAACTGACTTATTCATGAGAATAAAGGGGAACAAATACAATTGATTGATCAAATTCTTTATCGTGTAATTTCTGTCATTGATGGTTCCTTAATCAAATTTAAGAGAGTATAATTATTGTAAGATGCCGTATGTGAAGGACTACACGGTCAGCTTTTATAAAGCATACGATGACTGCATGTTTCTCGAATTTTTTTACACTGAAAAAAAAATGTGAATGTAATGCAATGTCACGATTTACACTTTTTCTTAATTTGTCCTTTCGGCAGGATCAATTTTAGTTATCGTAAATTTTGTGCATTGTAAATTAAAATATTTAACATATTCCGAGAAAAAACTTAATGTATGGTTAACAAATATCCCAAAGGTTCAAATGATGAATTACATGCCAGTTCCCATCAATGTGTATATATGCAATATTTTAACAATGGTTACGTTTCTGCGAGAACTCGACGTTATTCGATCGACAGAACCGGGATCAAGACTAGCAATTCTCTTGAATAATATATAACAAGTCATATGATATGACATTTATGCTACTTAAAATGGAGAGCTATTTTGGGGCCAAATTTATTGTAATACTGATATATATATATGATGGTTTAAGTAACCGGAAATGAATTTTACAAGTCTTTTTGCAAACGAATAAATGATTGAGTCTATGAATTACTAGTATTATAAATAAAAGTACCTCCGGCAAATTGTGGGCCATATCCCGTACTAATTAATGACTGCAATCCGATCACAGAATTCATAACTGTTTTGATACACATGATACATTCTATCCGTAGGACCAAGTTCGAGAAATTGCTTGTGTACTTGGCTAAATCTCCAAGACATTCAAAGAGTAAATCTAAACCATCGCGCCTCAGAAAATCCAAGATCCACCGTTTGTCGTCACTATCAAGTTTCTTCCTTAGTCGACAAAAGTTGACAACAGAGGGGTGCCGAAGGAGAAAAACACAGGAATTGGTCAAAGACAAGTCGTTAACAATATCCGCCAGGTTGGCTTCGGAACTACACCTCTTGCATCTATTTTTAGGAGGCTGGGTCTCTTCCGTACCCAGGTCGGACACATAGCCAGAATTCGCCATAACTTCAGGAATCGGTCCTTCTGATACTGTTAGGATACACACAGGCAGTCTGTCAGGTGCGAGCTCATATATAGTAGTACGCCTCCTGTGTTCACACATTAATACCAGCAGCTTTGTATCGATTGTAAAAATACGAATACTTCATTCACTATTTCAAACAGAGGACCTCATAGCAACTTAAGACATTACCGGGAAAGACAATGATATACGTTTGTTTCTAGATCGTTACAATTGTAAGATAGGTGGTGAATTTAACATCTTTTTATTATATATTTTAATGTAAAGTTAAATGTAGAGGAAACATGGTCTTGCAAAGTATAATATCCAGCACAGCTCACACAGTGGTTAGAGTGTTTGCTGCACAAGTAGTAAAGAGATGATCCATACGTCATATGTTCGAATTCCGCTGCAGGACGTAAAGACAAGTCTTTTAAGTGTATTATTGCACGAGTAAAATATATCAGTTATTTGCTACATGAATATTGTTAATATATCTTACACCCCCCCCCATTCTTTACATTTCATGACATCGCTTCTCTTCTTACATTTTTGGAAATACAGTAGCATTAAAATATTTTGCATATGATAAATCTGAATAGGGCCAAGTAATTCACCATTTTGTTCCATCGCACATCGTAGGTAGGTATACCCTGGCTAAATGATGCAATGACGCGAAGGTGGTGTGCAATGACAGGATCCTGCCTTAGTGCTTTAATGAGACGACGATAATTCGATGAAGCAATGGGCCTACCGAATATCACTTCGATTCATCGTCGACATCTAATCCTTTTCACAACCACTTAGTCTTTTCCATCGTATCATCATGTGATAACGCCATCGATATCATCACGACGGTCGTGATAACGCCATCAATATCATACGACGGTTGTGATAATGTCATCGCACAATCTCGTGGCGTCGCATGATCGTAATCGCACTTCATATATCAAGCCATAGTGTCCATGCACCATCAACCAAAATCTCGATATTGCAATACTTGGATGGTGAACCACATGTCCCTATCCGGATTCCATTGATGTGAATAGTATGTACATGATATCTTAATGTCGATTTTGCCTGCAGGAGAGACACCAGAAGACTTAAAAGTGTCAGTGCTATAAATCAAGACTGTCTCCTACATTACACGTGTTGACAAAACAAAAATCAATTTGGCATTTGCATTTCCCTTGGTCTTTTTAAAAAGTTTGAGCATCCACTAAGCCAGCATTGTCATTTGAACTCTTTAAATTTGTTATATTGTTCCCTGTGATCTACTAGTTATAACATTAATGCAATGAGCTTTTTGCTGCACTGGACATACATGTATATTTCTTTGGTTACGTGTGACTGTGAACAAGTCTATTTCAACTTTCAAGAATTTGATATTAAAAA